TGCAAAGTGCAAGGAGGGCAATTGCGAAGAGGGAAGACAGGCAGACCCAGGCGGGAGTGGGCCCCCGTGGAAGCTGAGGCTGGAAATGCTGCCTTTAAACTGTCTAGGCCGGCATGTGTCTTGGGAAGTCTTCCCATAGGCCAGTCTGAAGAGTGCTGACCCATTTGATACTGGTCTTCTGTATCTCAGTTTTCATATCTATACAATTAAGAGATGTGACCCAGTGACCCCTAAATTGCATTTCAGCTTTCAATATTTCATTCCAGCCATGAAGCTGGGCTCCTGGACAGAGTGTGTTTGCTGAGGCCATTCCTGTCTGCCAGGCAAGTGTGAACAAGTTGGGTAATGTCCCTGCCTCTGTGTGTTAGACCCCGGCTGCCTCTTCCCTAGGAGCAGGTGGTCTGCACCCTCGCTGGAGACACCGCCAAGTGGCTCTGCGACTTCCCAGCTGAGTGACGTTGAGCAAGTTAACCTCTCATCAGCAGCCCTGTTGCAGAGACTGGCTACAGCATGGCATTAAAGAAAAGCCCTGAGCTATTAAAAGAAGCAGGTTTTGGAGGATGGGATTCTAAGAACCATGTCTTACATTTCTGTGGTGTTTGAGTGTTTGCTATGAACATGTATATTGCTTTCATAGTAAAACATATATTCTTAAATGTTATGACTTCGTGTTTTTGGCCTGATGGTACTAATGCAGTGCTGCATTATGCTTTGCAGGCAGTTTAGAAGATTTGGCCATTATATATGTGTTGGATAAATTTTTACAGTGGCGTAACTTGTTCTTATTTAATAAAATGTGTCAAGACATGAGAAGGAGTCGGGGTTAAAAAGAAGGCTGGTGTGTCTGCTCTGCTCGGAGGATGTGTGTCCCCACGGATACCAGCCTTTGACTTCTGCGTGGGCGGCGTGGGGAGGGACAGAGTCCTGAGGCAGAGCCTAGGGTGGGGGCAGAGGCACAACAGCAGCGGGTGCAGGGTTTGGGCTGGGAAGGGTGAGGCAGAAGGCCCCAAAGACAGGAGTGGCTGAGCTGAACTCAGCACTTGGGGAAGGAAGCAAGAGGAAGTGAGTGGTTTTGAGTTTTACTTTCAGTTTTCACTTAAAGTCATTTCAGAATGAAACCCATTTAACGGTCAGATCTCTCAGCCAGATTTCTCAGCAAACCTGCCTTCCACCCCAGGTCCTTCAAGCTGAGCTTGGGGATGGGCCAGGAAGGTGAGCAGCAGGAATGGGGCGTTCTGCAGCTGTGGCTGGATTGCAGCTGTTTCTCATCTGCATATCAACACATTGTCACAGCTGGGCCCCACCGCACTGCAGGCATTTCACCCCCTCTGTGCCAGGGCTCTACTCTGGTTATTTTCACGGTCTTTGCCAAGACTCAAAGGACTATTTCTGAAAGGCTGGCCCAGGACCACGTCTCAAAACCCGTCCCCCCACCCCATTGTTTGAATGCAGAATCCTAGGCCAGGCCTGTGACCCATTGGATCAGAGTTTCCTGAGGTTGGGTTGAGATCTTCATTTTTGACAAACACTCCAGAGACCTCGTGTGCTTCAAAGGCTGAGATCGTCTGCCCTAGCAGGTAGATATTTCACCATGGTAGGTTTTGCCAATAAGGAACCTGAGCCTAAAACACGAACTAAATTGCTCAGAGTCAGCCAAGGAACTAGCTGTAGAGACTTGATTCAAGCCCAGGGCTAGGTGATCAGGGTGCCACTTTGCCTGGGAAAACCCTGGTTTGCGCCTACAAGCATCCTGGCTGGACAATGCGTTCTACGACTGCCCTATGCAGAGCCTGCGGCCACGACTCTGCACCACACCGCTGCCCCTTCCACAAGGCCGGCGGATGTGATCATGGGGACACGGGGTGGAGGGCATGCGCTGGCTAGGAAGGCAGAGTGGGAGGCAGGTCAGGGAAGACACCCCAGAAGTGACACTTACCCAAATGCCCTGTCACCCTTTAGGACAGCATCGCAGGCAGCAGGCACTCTCAAGAAGGATGTGGATGAGCAACTGGTTTCCATCTCCACCGAAAGCTGCCACCACAGCAACAGCTATAATGACATCTGCCAGTGCATAGCACTCACCACACGGCCAAGCACCTTGCTGACCCCTGCGCGCATCCTAGAGACGGCCCAGACCCGAGCAGCAGCCAGGAGCGGGTTGCAGGAACTTCCTTGCCATCGTGATCCTTGTGACCACGATGCACTATCGGCCGAAGACCCAGGAGTGCGGGCATGCAGCCAAGTCACAAAGCGATTTCTGATGCAGCCTTTGTAAACTGTGACCTTTCTGGGCGGTGTGGAAAAGGTTAACACCAGGATCCTGAGCCTAATACTCAGTGAAAAGGAGCCCATTTTTTCCTTCCAGGGACAGAGCAGAGCGGCCTGTACATCCCGACTAATTCAGATACAGCTCTGCCCGGAAGCGGGAGGGTGGAGGTGACCTCTGAGGTCCCTTTGAGCCTAAGGGGTCTGTGATCATTACAACCACATGTCAGGACCCAGAGACATTCCTGTTTCCTGCTCTTTTACCTGGGGACCCCAGCTGTGGGGCCCCTTTTGCCTGTGTATTTAGCAGGTCGTGACCTTTTCCCTGGGCCTCCCAGCCTCCTCTGTAGCCTCCCCACCCCCAGGCCCCTGAGCCCCCCTCCTTCTCTCTACTTCATCTTAACACCATCTGGATTTTCCAAGCCAAGCCTGGGTCTTTTAGGGAAGCTAAACTGTTTCAGGGACGTGGAGCCGAAGGCTGTCTCCCTAACAGAGAGCCAAGGCACCCTCCCAACTGCACCCCGCGGACCTGCGCTCTCTTCTGGCAGCAGAGCCAACGGCTGTGGTGGTGGAGGGTGTGTCAGATGACACGTGCTGCCCCAGCCCAACGCAGACCTTCTCTGAGAGTGCTCTCAGCCCACACGGCCAGCCAAGGGAGGCCCTGGCAGACACTGGCCCTACACATACATTTCTCCTTTAGGTCATCCTGAGTCAGGCAGCTGGAGCGAAGGGATGGGCCGAGGGCCAGCCGGACAGAGGTTCCTTGGAGCAAGCTGCTCGGCCGGAGCGGACCGACAGCTCAGTAGATGGGAAGGAAGCCCCAGCCGGAGGAGAGGGTAGAAACTAGCAGGGAGAGGATATGAAAAAGACTGAAGGAGGAGAGGAAAGAACATGCAGGGAAGGATGAAGATTGAAAGGGAAACGGGAAGAGGGGAGAGTGTTGGTGCCAAAGAGGTTTTAGGATAGGGGGTTCGTCTTGGGCCTTTAGGAGATCACAGGGCCGGGGCAGGGCTGGGATGGGGAGCAAGGGAGCGGTGGGCTGGGCTTGGGATATTTGACTTTTATGGTAGTAGGGCCTCAGTCTCTCCAAAACCCTGCTCTGTGGGAGGCTCTAGACACAGTCTCTGCCAGGGGGTTGACGGGGTGAAGAGAGAAAACAGTGTTAGAGTAACCCACAAGCGGTGTGCATTCAGTTCAGCTCATGCTTTTCATGCATCTACTGTTTACGCTCAGGCTCCCTGCGAGGCGCAGGGCGCATCGTGGGTGAGCGAGACAGTGGCTGGCAGCGCTCCGAGGGAGGCGTGCAGTGTGCTCGGTGGGCATGTGAGGGTGCATACGCGTGATGTGCTGGGGGTACTGAGATTCCTTCCAGAAGGAGGGAAAATACACATTCATTTTTACGTGTGAGCTGGAGGATCTAAGAGCTAGAAGATCCTTGGAAAGTCAGTTTATAGGATGGCTTCTAAAAACCATCGCAGACAGAAGATTCCCTCTCATATGCTAGCAGATCCCGCAGAGAGAGGGGTGCTCTAGCTCTGCCTAGGGCCAGGGTAGGAGAGGAGACATCGCAGTACTGGTCAGGTAGGGAACCCCAATGGGAGGAGGCCTAAGAGGCCACTCCTTCCATCATCTGTCCAAAGTAAACAGCTGAAGGCATCCCAACTTTGCTCGCCATCCCCAGGGCCAGGAGGCTCACTACATACTAGAACCCCTTGCTACAGTGTTGGAGGGCTCTGGGCATTGTTTCCCGAAGTGTGTTCCTTAGAGTACTTAGTTCCTGGTGTTGTTAATAGACTCTCCTTGGGAATGGGGGGGGAAAGTTACCTGGAAAAATAACATTGGGTTAAATAAAAGGGGTTTCTTTTTTATTTTTTGAATATTTTTCCTAATTTGGATATTTTTTGCTTTGCTTTTACTTTTTGTTTCGCCTACATGACTTCTCAGAACCTTAAATATGTACATTTCCAAGACTTAGACACTATAAAGTAACTCAGAAACTTGCTTATTCTGGGAGCTCTTTTTTTTTTTTTCATGAAACTTTTGAGGCGAGGGCATCCCATGCAACTTTGAGATATTCTGCTCCAGTGGCAGAAAGGACTCCCTTTTGTTCCTTTGAAGAAAAGGCAAGGATAGGGAATTGATCTGTAGGCCCTTCCTTGGAGGTCTGAGCCTCTAGTCTGTCATTCCACCTAGCCCCAAAAGCCCTTTGAAAACCCTTCAACTGGATTAAGGATTTGATTAACTTGCTTTTGTTCTCCCTGATTTGACCTTGGGTGAACTGCCCCATTTCTTTATGGCCCTTCCACTTTCTCTTCATTGAACTGGGATAATGGCCTCAATTCATTCCTTCTTCAGGGCTGGCCATCCCCAAAGCATTCCTGTGTCGTGTGATTAGCACCCACTTCCCCGGCGTTCCCTATTATTTCCTCTGTAGCTTCCGACTCCCCAGCCAGGCTGGAAGCAGCCTGATGGCAGTGGCCGTTTTTAGGACAGGGGTTCTAGGTTCCCCCAACAGGGTGGCAAGATGGGAGCATCACCGAAATTGGAGTCAGGGGACTGGATTTGCTTCCCCATGCTGCTACTTGCTGGTCATGTGACAAGTCACTCAAGCTCCTGGAGGCTCATTTCCTTCTTCTTTAAAAAAGTGAGGTGAAGTTAACTGAGCCAAGGGAATGGGATTTATAAACTAAGTTTCCATAGAATCCCAGTTATTTTTATTATTCATTCATCCAGCACATGCTAATCGTGTTTGAGGCGTTGTGCAAGCTGTTGAGAATCCAGAGCTGGGCCTCGGTTCACCCTCCTAGTCTCTCGTTCTGTCTGCATGCGGCCATAAGGGTGAGTGTTCCGGAAAATTACGTTTACAAAGTTTGTGCAAATCTCAGCATTCTTCAGAGAGACATAGAGTCTTGTTAAAACGCAGGAATAATGGGTGATGTTTCGTGAGCTCTGGTCTCCAAACCATGCCTTCCTCGTAGGGGCTGCCACATCCACAATCAAGAACAAGCACACGGGACATGTCACTTTTTGTTCTAAAATGAGAACAAAGTATGTCTGAACTGAGGGAAGCTGGAGGCACGGGGTGTTGGGGGAGGGAGGATCGCTGCGGTGGGTGGGGGTGACGCAAGGGGATGAATGGGGGTGCAGAGCCCACGGGCAGAGCAGGCAGACCCGACACAGACATCACACCGAGACAGGGAATGTTGTGAGCCCTGCGTCCGCATGCCTCCACCCCAGCCCCCAAAGGACCACCCTGGGAAGTCCTCTCGGAAACCCATCCATCATGGACAGCAGTCTGCTTTCTTTCCCCCGGTTCAACATCCATCGCACAAAAATGTGCTTCACTAATGGAAACCTTGTGCTGCACTCTCAGAGGATTGCGGCGGTGAGCAGCAGAAGAGGAAGCGGGTGTGTGTGTAAGAACATGCACGCGCACACGCACACACACACATGCGCGCACACACACACACAGAAGCAAGCAAGTCTCCCTGGTGTGAGAGCCCACGAGCATGTGTGCCGCGTGTATGCAGATGCACACGGAGACGGCAGGGAGGTCCTCGCTTGCATCCGACACCGGGCGTGGGAGCAAGGAGGGAAAGCTGATGGTCCTGTTGCTCCCCAGCTCCCGGGTCACCAAGCAGGATGGGCGCCTCCCTCTTCTGTGTTTCTCAGTGATTAAGTGTGTCTGGCTGGAGTTTTCACTGGCTCTTTCATACCTTGTAGGAGGGGAAAAAATAAAAAAGAAATTAAGAAAAAGATCAAATTTCAGTTCCCCCCAATTGCTCTGGTCTGTGCAAACAAATGTCCTTGTGGGACTGTCACTGCCCTCACAGGGGCCTGCTTGTGGGTCAGTCTGCACCTAGACTAGAGCAATTAGTAGCTTCTTTTTTGTATCATGGACAGCCCAACGTATTGAAGTCCCTATCGTGTCACCATCCCCACTGGCTTAACCCTTGGGCTGATGGAAGGAAGAGACAGCCAAGAAGCATCCACATGTGTGTGAATAAAAAGCAAGTGTGGAGTATGGAGACCTGAATTCCATTCCTGGATCTGTTAGGAACTGGCTGTGTGACCTTAGTCAGGTCATAAACCTCTCTGATTCTTAGACTCCTCTCCTGACAAATAAACAGGGCAGATGGTGATAGTCTCTGTCTGGGGCCCCCCACCTCTCACCTTCTGCAATGGGGGTTTACCTGCAGGAATGCAGGGTTGCAGACATGTGGATAACACAAAATGGTGGTGACCTAACTTTAATTTTTTCTATTTTCCTTTCCGTTTGCCTTTGGAATGTAACTGGAACACACATTCGGATACTCTCGGGCTTCCTTCCTTCCCAGCCCCTGTCCTTGGCTCCTCTGTCTCTGCCTCGAGGCCGGGGATTGGGGGGTGTGGGAGGGTTGGAAGAATGTGGGGCTGGCTGGCCGTGAGGTCCAAGGGGCTGAAGAAGGTCCCGGGTGGGGGCGGGGGGCATGTGGGGGAGGAGTGCTCCAGGCACGGAGAATCGATCAACTGTAAGAGCACTCTAATCCCCTTCCCAATCCAGAAAGGTAGCAGATTGTGAATAGCGCATTCCTCACAGGAAGCGCCGTATATACTCGCCTATGCGAGGCCGGGAAAGCAGTAGTGTGTGTTTAAAAGATGAGCCAGCCCCAGGGAGAAGCCTCAGAGACGTCCTTGTTCTCCCTCCTGTCACCTGCACAGGTCAGCCTTAGTCTCCAGCCCGGCCCCTGCAAACTGGGGTTGCCAGAGCAGGCGTCAGCCCGCGGGTGGAGACTGGAAGGGGGCGGAGACCTTCATGGGCAAGTAAATGTGCTGTTTTACCACAGCTTGGGAAATGGGAGACCCTTCTTTTGCTGCAGCATCTTATATGTGAGCATATACGGTAACCGAGAAATTCCTGAGTCCCACCACCAGCCAATCAGGAGTTGGGGCCTTTCTGCATTTTTGTTCTTTAAAAAAAGTTTTGGGTCCTCTAAGGAGCAGCAAATCAATCGCAGTCTGTGGAGCTGTCACCCCTCCCCCGCTGTCATGGTGATAGGGGTGTTATGCCGGCCTTGGTCCTCACCCTGGGGACAGCCCCAAGGGAACGCCAAGTCTCAGGTGTTTGCAGTGTAGGTGCTGGTGATGGGGAGGCTGGCCAGGGGTGGTGGCTGACCAGCTGGGGCCATTACTGGGGGTGCTGGTGGGGGAAGAAAAAAAGAGAAGCAGAGAGGGAAGGAGGAAGAGAGAGGACTCTGTCAATGTGTGTGTGTGTGTGTGTGTGTGTGTGTCACCCGTGGCCTTCCCATGCCCACAGGACTGGACAAGTAGCAGGCTGGTGGGAAGTGCAGGCAGTGCCATCAGGAAGGGGACAGCAGCAGCTTTTCCCAGGAGAAGGTCTCCCGAGCAGCTGCAAACTGGGAAGCGCCTGCTGAGGCAGCCCAGGCTGCGGGGTGGGTGGGCAGGGCCGCTGGGTGCTGCCATCTGCTTGGGCTGCGGGGGGTCAGCCTTGGAGCCACCGGCCTCAGGTCTCTCCTGCTCATGAACCTGGGCCTGACTCTGCCGTCCTGCCCCTCCTTAGGCTCCACCGGACATGGGCCCTGTCCCCATGACCTCTGCCAACTCCCAGGCTCGGTTCTCTCTTCTCTCTTTAAGGCTTCTAATGTGGGTGGCTCGCCACTTCCAGTTGCCCTCCCGTTTCTTCTTCACTTCTCCTTCATCTCTCAGTTCTCCTTTTGTTCAAGGCTGACAGGCCCGAAAGGCAGTGGGACAATCAGCAGAGGCCTGGAAAGGGGTCCTCTGGGCACATTTCTTGGTTGGAGTGCTGGAAATATGCAGCCCCTTCCCATAATACTTTCTTTAAATGGTGGACTCTTATCCAGATGAGGAAATTGAGATTATAAGAGGTAAAATAAAGCAGCTCTCAACTCAGGTACTCACCAAATACTCACTGACACCTGCTGAGTGCTGGGATCTGAAGCTACGAGGATAAGGGTGTTTGTGCCCTGGTCCACGCTGTCCCCGAGCGCATGCCCAGGACGTGGCCCACCCCAGACTTGCCGAACCAGAGTCTCGGGGAGGGGTGCCCAGGTGGCCCCGGCTCACTCACGTTTGAGAAGTGTTGCCCTGGCCAGAGATCTCACTCGGAGCCACGCAAACTTGAGGTCCACTTTCCAGCTTCCAGGCTCTCCCTTCCATGGTGCTGCCGTGGAGGAAGGAAGGAAGTTGAATGTCCTTGGCAGGCCTGGGTGTAGCGCCCATATTCGGAGGGCATGGCATGGGCCTTTTTGACGCGTTGCTTGGCCTTTGGAGAAGAAGGATGGTCTGAGGTCAGCTCTAGCTCATTTTACTCCCTGTTCCTTCCCCCCCCCCCCGAATCATTTTAAGCTTTTCCTTTTTTTCTCCTTTAGCAACAGATTTCAGAGTTTTTACAGAAGTGGTGGTTTTAAGCATTTTGAATCTAGAAGGCACTTCACATGGAAGAGAGTTTCTGTGCTCTGAAGACAGGACAACAGGAAATACAGCAGGAGAGATTTAGGTTAGATCATTAGTTTAGTACCATAGCCTTATCGATCTGGATTTTGCGGGATATTCTTAATTCTTAAACACAATACCTTAGTGCACGGACGTTTGGGAGCTGGGCCTCTGTGGGCGAAAAGCAGCGACCAGCCTGGAGCTTCAGGGAGCTTGCATGTTGTAGCGCTGACTCTTCCAACGCGACATAGTCAAATCCCTTGGCTTCTCTGTAAGTCGGCTTCTCGTTTTTACACGTAGGTAGAAATGCCTTTCCTAGGATTTCCATTTGTTTTCTTTAGCTTCTTTTAACTTTTCAATTTGGAATTGCTAGGAGACAATTTTCCATGGGTCTCTCATGTTTCTGCACACCTTGTGAAGAGAGGCATGGACAGCCTTTTGTCCTGGACTACGTTTGTAAGGATATTTATATAGTGAATGGCCTTGCATAATGGAGAGAAAATACCTCTAGACATGTACAACCAGCAAAGCAATCTTTCAAGAATATGGATAAAATAAAGATATTTCCAACAAACAAAAACTAGCTGAGTTTACTACCAAGCGTTACTCACCAAAGGAATTTCTAGATTGGGATATATTTCAGGAAGAAAGGATGATTCCAGAAGGAAGAATTGAGATGCCAGAAGCAATGGCTACAGAAAGAAAAGGTAAATGCCTGACAAATCTAAATATAGAACAAAGCAATAAGAATAATATCGAGTAACTTGGGGAGTTAAAAACAGGTAGAACTACAATAGACCAAAAAAGCCGAAAAGTTGGAGTAGGTGTAAATGCAGCTGAAACATGCTGAGATCCTTGTATTGATGAGTAAAACTATTAACTTTAGCTTTAAGTTAAATAACCACCAAAATAATAGAAATGGAAGTATGTAACTTCCAAAGTAGCAAAAGGAAAAATGGAATAAAAATGTTTTAAACAAGCAAACAAAAAAGGCAAAAAAGAAGGGGAAGAAACAAAGAACAATATGATAGAAATAAACCCAATTATGTCATTAATCACTACACATGTAAATTTATAAGTATAAAATAACTATGAAATAAACTCTTTTGTGAAAGGGCAAATATGGATCTAAAAATCTAATTCTGTTTTCAAGAGTCTATTTAATTAATACTGTTTGAATAAATAATTAAAACATAGAGACATTGAAATATTGAAAGCAAAAGCATGGAAAAAGATATACCTGATAGAGAGTAATATAAGAAAAAGTTGAATAACTGTATTAACAGAAGGCAAGTTTAGTATAAGGCAAAAAGCCTTATTAGACATCAAGAGAGACACTACATAATGATAAAATGTTTGACTCACCGGAAGAATAAAACAGCCTTAAACTTGTGTGTAATCAGCAACATAGCTTCAAAATATATAAAATAAAATTGTAAGAACCACAAAGAGAAACTGACAAATCTATATCATAGTGGGAAGCTTTAATATATTTTCTCAATATCTGATAGATCAAGCAACAGAAAAATCAAATAGTTTAAAAGATTTGAACAATGCAATTAACAAGCTCAATCTAATGGATGTATATTGAATTCTGTACCCAATAAATGGAAAAGACACATTCTTTTCAAGTATACTTGGAATGTTTAAGAAAATTATCTACATAGTATGCCTGAAAGCACGTCTCAATAAATTCTAACCAGTATCTTATAGATTATATCTTTGACTACAAAGGAATTAATAAATCAATAACAAAAAGATAACTGAAAATAATTATTCCTATGTTTGGAAATGAAAGACATACTTCTAAATAACTCCAAGGTCAAAGAAGAAATCATAATGGAAATGAGAAAATATTTAATATTCATTTATAAGGATAATATTACATATTAATATTTAGGGAATAAAGTTAAAACAGTGGTCAGAAGTGGTTTAAGGTGATTAGAAGAAAATATATAAAGTATAAGCTTAGATATTAGAAAGAAAGGGTGTCTGAATAGCAGCAATGTAAACATCTAAATTAAGAAATTAGAACAAACAAATGAATAATCTTTTAAAAAGTAGAAAGGCTAAATTTATAAAGAGCAGCATTAATAAAAAAAAGATAAAATCAACAAAGCTGAGAGATGCTTCTTTATTTTTTATTTTTTTAATTTTTCCCCAATTTCACCTATAGCTGCAAAAGATACTTGTTTAAAAAGATGAATGCAATTAACAACTGCCAGCAAGATCATGAGAAAAGTAAAAAATTAGCAATATTAGAAATGAGAAAGAGGATTTAACTACTTACCACAGATTGAACTATGTCTCCTCAAAAGACAGGTAGAGTTCCTAACCCTCAGCACCTGGAATGTAGCCTCATTTTAAAAACCAGGTCTTTGCAGCTATAATCAAGTTAAGATGAGGTCAGTAGGGAGGGCTCTAACCCCATATGACGGGTGTCCTTGTAAGAAGAGACCAGAAATAGACACGGGAGAGCACTGTGTGAGACAAGGCAGAGATTGGCATGATGCATCTACAAGCCACGGAATGCCCGAGATTGCTGACCAGTGTTGGAAGCTGGGAGAGAGGCGCGGAACAAATCAGAGCTCTCTGGGGAAGCAACATGGTCAGCACCTTCATTGTGAATTTCTCACCTCCAGAACTGTGAGACAACACATTTCTGTTTTAAGCCACCCAGTTTCTGATACTTTGTTCCAGGAGCCCTAGGAAATTAATGTACTACTGATGCAGAAGGAATTAAAATATAATGAGAAAATAATATGCCACTCATTGCCAAAACATTGGAAAACTTAAATGAAGAGAACCATTGCTAGCATAACATCAATTGCCAAAGTGATTCGAGAGGAAATGGAAATCCTGAATATAACCATTTATAATAAAATCATTAGATTTGGGTAATTAACAGCAATCTCAGATTATTTTATAGGCAAGATATGTCAAACATTAAAGAAAAAGATAATTCCAATATTATTTAAATTCTTCTATAGAGTAGAATAAAAGGAAACTTATTCTAAGTCATTTTATGAGGCCAGTATAACCTTGATACTGAAATCAGAGATAGTTGTAGGAGAAAAAAATCACATAAACATTCACTAATAAACATAGATGCAAAACTCCTAAACACACTAACATATTGGCACTAGCTATGTATTAAAGATAATCAACTACGACCATGTTAGATTTATTTCAAGAATGCTAAGCTGGTTTAACATTTTCTTTCTTTTTTTGCTTATAAACAACAGCAATTTATTTCTCACAGTCTGGAGGCTGGGAAATCCAAGATCAAGATGCCAACAGACTTGGTGTCTGGCAAGGGCCTGCTGCCTAGTTCACAGACGGCACCTTCTCGAAATGTCCCCACAAGGTGGAAGGGGCATAGGTCTCTTTAGGGTTTCTTTCTTTTTTATTTCAAAATATTACATGTTTTTGGTTACATAAATCTCTTTTGTTATGCTTGAGTCAGGGTTGTAAGTGTGCCCAACACCCAAATAGTGTGCATTTTACCTGTAAACGTAGCTCACCACTTAAAAATTCATTAAGAGAAGAAAAACCATACGATCATCTCATTGGAGGCAGAAGGCATTTGATAACATTCAATATTTGCTTATGATAACAACTCCCGCCCAATTAGGAATCAAAGGTGACTTTCTTGACCTGATAAGGGTTTCGTAGCACACACATGCGTGCACATGCATGCACTTGCACACGCACACACACACACAGTCACAGTAATTATGTCTTCAGTAGTAAAGTATTAAAATTTTTCCCTTTGAGATCAGTAACAGGCTAGGCTGTTTGCTGTCAATGCTTTATCCAGTGCTCCCTCTGGACTGGCGCCCGTCTTTTCTGCAGCTCGCCCTTCAGGAAGCCCCAGGGGAGGCGGAGGCCTAGAGAACGTGCTCTCCTGCAGGGACGGCGGGCTCTGCTCCGTGCACCGTGCTCCATTTCCTCCTTGCGCGCTCCTGGAGCAGCGCTATGCCTTCTTTCCCAAATTCCTGGAGCGCAGTCGATGGGAAAAGGGAGCATCTCAAGGCCCAATGGACGACCAGCCACTCATGGTGTGTTCTTGATAAGTGAATGTTCCCTTTCCACATATGTCAGGGCGTCATCCATCATGGAAGCTATCTTGCATGCTCTTTGTGTGTGGGAGTGGGAGGCGTGCGTGCGTGCGTGCGTGCGTGTCCGGCACTGTGCGGGGGCTAGCACGAAGCTGACGATCGGCTGTGTTGCCCGAGGGGCTTCTGTTGCCTGAGGGAGGATTGCCTCACCCCCAGCTCAACGATACTGAGACTGAGACATTTTCTTGGGTGTTCTCTTAGGAATGAAGACTCGGTAAGAGCCCAGTCACATTGGGTGCTGGACGTTTCCGGACTTTCCAGCCATTTAGTAATCTGGCACAGCCACCCAGCCACCAGGACAGGACAGTCCGGGTTGGCAGCTGTCAATCTGGGGGTGTTTGCTCGTGCTGGGCACCGTGTTAAATTCCTGACACGTGTATTTCACTGAATTCTTACAACCACCCTGTAGAGCAGGTATTATTAGGCTCCAACTGTAGATAATGAAGCAAGAATCAGGGAGGTTAACCACTTCGGGACGAGCGTCGACCGTAGTCGACAGCCACAGATGAACGCGCACAGCGACTTTAGCCGACAGCCGTGATATGACTTTTGTAATTTTTCATTCATCAAAATAAAATTGTGAACATTTAAAAGTAACGTAATGAAAACGTATGTGTATGTGTTACCTATTCTGATTCACATGACAAGTAAAGCTGCCTGTAAAGGAGAACAAGCTTCAGTGCTTTAAGGCTTTCCTCGTCACACAAGAGCGGAACGGACGCGTGGTCAACGCACAGCACAGACCGCCGGCGACTGTGAGTGCCGCTGCGGGCGAGGTGTCGCGGCCGGTGAGCTCCCTGCCGAAGTCGTTAAAAACCTTACTGAGGCTCACACCACTAGTATCAGTGAAGCTTGGATTCAAAGATGGGTCTGCAAGGACTTTCGTCAACCCCCCGTCACACTCAGAAACAGTGGCACCAGCTGCCTCAGAGATGCTGCAGCCACAGGACAGCTGCTAAGCTCATGCTCCTTCCTCTGCTCTTCCAAAGATGCCCTCCCAACCACTGTCTGAAGTGTGACCTCTCCACGGCCTATAGGATCAAAACCAGTCCCTCACCAGCCACTTGGGGCCCTGCCCTGCAAGTCCCCAACAGCCTTCCGAGATCTCTTCTCTGCCTCTAAGCCACAGCGAGCGTCCCCTGCATGCGGTCTGCCGTCCTCAGTGTCTCTTGGATTCACACCCTCTTAGCTGGCCCCAGCTTTGCTTCTGTTCTTCTGCTGGCTGGAGGAGGTCACCGGCCCATCCTGCAGCCGCGGAGCCCCGCCGCTACAGACGACGCGCCTTGCAAACAGCACCCAGGCTCTGTCCTCCTAACAACCACCGGCGCATCCCTCTCCCTTGGTGCCTAACAAGTATTTATCCTCCAAAGCCACAAAAGGAACCAGGAGGCAGGAAGCAAGAATAGGTTGGAGCTAACCAGGTGATCTCTCCTCCACTAGGTCCAGGGAACATCCACGCTCTCTGCCTCCTAAATGGCCACGTCTCTAGAAAGGGCTGGGATGGGGCTTAAAATACTTTGTTCTTTGTCAGTGTGTAGCACGTGCTGACCACGTGGTAGATGTTAAGTATCTTAGTTGGCATGTGAATAAAGGATTGAAACAAACCAAGGAAGGAAGACGAGGACAGCTGGATAAACCAGTTGTTACAAGACAGTAGCTGTAGCTGGTGTCTGAATACTCCCTATGGGGAGGGGGAGGGTTCAGTAGACTCAGAGAGACAACTTGGTATAAATGCTGAGAACATGAGCTTTGGTGTTTGACAGGGTTTGAATCTGAGGTCTGCCACTCAAGAGTTGTGTGGACTTGGCCAAATCACTTAACCTCTCTGTGCCTCCATTTAACCTGCAAAAAAGGACGGATACCTACCTTGCAGGGCCACTATGATGATCAAATGAGATAGTTTGTGCAAGAGCCTGGCACAAAGCAAATGCTCCATAAAGGATATTTCATTATGATCGAGAGGGAAGGAGGAGAGAAGAGGAGGTTTGGAGGAAGACCTCATTTATGGAGGTTTGGATGTGTGTCCGGTGCCATCTCACCCTGGCCCTGTGACCATCAGCATCTTCGTTGTCTCAGCAGAGCCATCCTGGAGCCCCACTTTGGTCATGGATCTCTCGAGTTTCTGGAAGTGGCAGCAGCAGCTGTCTGCTGCATGGCGGCCCGGCAAAGGCTGATTTAAGGAGGCGGTGAGGAAGACAGGACAGTGGGTAGGGAGGACTGCAGCTGAGCCGTTGGTTTATTTCAGGGTTGCAAGACCTCCAACCAGCTCTTCCTACAAGCCACCCCCCCGACACAGGGCAGAGGCACTGAGCCCGGACCAGATGTTTCCTCTCTTTCACTATTGATGGGTGGCTGGGGACACGGGGGAAGGGAGAGGGAAGGGAATGAAGGTAGAGAGAGGTCCCCTAGCTGGGTACCCATCCTTCCCACCTGGGATCTGCAGCCTCAGAGTGCCCACTCCCTGAAGTTCTAGGACACACCTGATGGATGTTAATAGCATGACCAAAGCTAGGGGCAAGGCAAACCAAGGGCAGCAATGGGACAGCCCATTTCCTGGAGGAGATCTTTGGGAGGGCACTTGGGGGGTGGCTAGAAGCTTCTGCCCAACTCACCAAAGAATAACTCAGGACGAGAAAAGATAAGAATAGCTTTTTATGTCATCTGCACCACTTGGAGAAACAGCCTAAAAGGCAGATAGCAGGTTGTAGAATTCCAGCAGCTTCCAACTCCACCGACAGAATCTCTATGGGTGTCACTTTTTCCTGTCTGTAAAATGGCGAGGATAATATATGTCCAGTGACCCACCTCCCTCACTGGGAGGACTTCATGAGTAATTACTGCTATGACAGGGCTTCACGAACGTGCAGGATCAGCGAGAATGAGCTTTCGGGGGCATCAGCAGCGCAGGGGATGTTGGCTACGAGCGGGGAAAGTACCTATGTGCCCTTCCACCTGCTGTACCCACGGGGCCTCAGCTGCGAGGACAGGTGCACCTCCTCCCAGATTACTCGGAAATCACTGTGGGTGCCCAGTAAGCACATCTTGGCTACAGTCAGAGAGTAACAGCTGAAAGCTACGTGGGGCTTACAGTCTCCTGCTCCCATTAATCATTTTGGGGACTTTAGTTTCATGTCCTTTTCTGAGATAAGTCTCTCTCACACTAAGGGCTGTGAGGCCCCAGGGGATCAGCAGTAGGTCAAACTGAGCTGGCTGTGTATTGTTCTTGGTAGTCACCAGTTTCTATTTCTAAAGGCAAAGGAGGGGCCTCTATCCCTCCCAAAGCTCGAGAAGCCCAGCAAAGTCGGTAGGGTCTTCACCTTCGCCGTGCTGCTGGAAATGGACAGAGCGCCTCCAGCTGTGCAGAGCTCCCTGCCCGGCGTGCGCCGCAAGAACACGCGGCGTCCCGTTACTGCGCACTGCGCTAAGCACGCCCTTGGCGTACATCATCTTTTTATCGTTCGTTTTTATTCAGCATGTTATGGTGGTACAAATGTTTAGGTTGCATATATTGCCTTTGCCCCACCCGAGTCAGAGCTTCAAGCGTGTCCATCCCCCAGACGGTGCACACTGCACCCATTGGGTGTGACTAGACCTCCCCCTCCCCTAATCATCTCAACACCTCAGGAGGAGGCTGCTATTATTGTCACCTGCATTTTACAGACAAGGAGAGGAAGGCTAGCTGCTGGTATACGGTGGCCTCTGCATGTTCGGGAGCCTTACCACTCGCAACAGGCACGGCCCCAGAGCACATGTGGCCTCCCGAGGTGAGACCTAACAGATACCAGTGAATTTCTCCCCAGAGGGAGAGCCTTGTGTCAAACCTCAGAGGAGATCCCCATGGGGTCAGCCTTGACCACCTCTCACCCCACCTCCGACTGGGGGATCTCTCCCGAGGGCTGACTCCACCGCCCCAAGCCAAGTGGGGGGAGCAGGGGAACAGCGGGGCAGGGTGCACGCGGCCCGGGAATGCTCACGTGTGTTTCCAGGCGTGTGTGACGGAGGACTGCTTTTGTATGAATCTGCCTCTTTCTTTTTCTGGCAAACCACAGACCAGCTACATATTCTTTGGCAGCTTCCGGAGGATGAACTTAAGATTTTGAGAGAGAGCAGGGAAGAAAGACAAGAGCAGGGGTGGGGGAAGGAGCGAGACAGAAAGTAATCACCGCCTGGCACACAAGCGCACGCACACGCCCTCCACACACGGCTCCTGGCAATGAGGAAGTGAGACGAGATCTTTTTCATGAATGGGCTTAACTCAGCCTTGCTGAGCTTCCGCTCTCCATTCACCAGTGTTCAGATTTCACCTCTGACCATCCAAGGAAGCTGGCTGCCGGCCCGGAACTGGGAGCAGCTTGAGATCGTCCCCTGTCCACAGGCGACTGCGTGCTTACCAGAATCTTCCTTGCTGCACCAGCAAATCCAGGATGACCAGGTTGTTTATAGGCTGCCAGGATTGGGGGGCACTGACCCTGGACAGCCCGTCCTCCCCGCCTCCCAGCACTAGGGCTCGCACCCTGGAAAGGCTCAGCACTGCAGCCAGCAGTGGTGCGAGCAGAGGAAACGCTCCTGCACGGACGCGGCCCAGGGGAACTCTCTGGGCACATTCACGTGTGCCTGCAGTTAGGCTGGGGGAAATGAGTCACCGTCTTGGAGGGGACACTTCATAGTTCTTCCCGTGGAGGTGAGGGAGCAATTAACTGTGGCCTGTGGCCTGTGAGGGTGCCACTGCTTCATTGTGGGTGGAGCTGGGTGAGCACCAGCAGCAGTAGAAGCTTCTGTCCCTTGAAAATGAGCCTGGGGAACGCAGAGGGCGCGTCTAGGCAGGGAAGGCCGGCTGAGGGTCCGAGCACCGAGCACCGCGCTGAGTGCTGCTGCGCTTCAGCTTCCTCCTCTGCAGGGAGGCGGCCGTAACACCTCCCCGGGGCTGCCCAACGCCCAAGTGAACTGAGACGGAAGACGGCTCCCCAAGGTGGCTTAGGTGGCCCCTGTGCAGCCCCGTTAGGGAAACCCCTACCACCTGGCACCGATGAGCAGCCGCCACTGTCCGCGAGGAGGGGAGCTCTGCCTCTGAACTTCCAGGAACTGGGCTGCCACAGACTTCAGGCCAGCAGCGAGAGCAGAGCGGTGGGAGGTGGACAGGGCTGGCCTGCCCCAGACCAAAGAACGGCAGGGAGGAGGAAGGTGGGAGCAGAGACACCATGGGGCTAAGCTTGTCCTCTCCTTTCTTGCCCCTCGCCTGCAGCCCCTTCTAGTGGGAGCTCAAGGAGACAACAGAGAAAGGGACACCTTTGTCCTGTGCCCACCGTGCATGCTCATCCTTTGATTCCTCACACAGGCTCCCTGGGCCCCACACTTGGATGGGCTATAGGGGGTCCCCAGACACCTGCATCTTACAGTGTTTGGGCCTAGAGGCAGAGGCATGGATGGCATGACCTCCAGAGCGCGCCCTCGCCACTCCTGGGCTGGCGTCTTTCCCAAGGCCAACCCAGGGCAGAGAGCTGGACACTTCGTTCCACTCCTCGCAGCTGCCGAGCTGCTGGTCCAGCTCTGGGCGCTGGGAATGGACTCGGAAATACCAGTGGGCTTTGTTGGGGCTGATTACTCACGGCAAAGGAATGACATCCATTCCACTGGGCTTTCTAGGAACTTGCCTGCAGCTGGAGCGGTCCCTGTCCCCGGTCCCCTCTCCAGCACAGAGAGGCTGCTGGCAGAGGCCTGGCGCTGGGGAAGGAATGCTGGTGGACCCAGGAGGAATTGGTGCGATTCTCCTTCCATTAAGCTGGGCTCTGGGTCCTCCTCCCCTGGGAAAGCAGCGGGGCAACTTCTTTCCCCTTTTCCTGCCCTCCTCTCGCCCTTGTCCCCCTCGCACAGAGAAGGCGGGAGCCGGATTGGGGTGACAGCAGCAGCTGGGGAGCCGGGGTGCGGGCAGCAGCGGGCAGGGTGGAGGGTGACGAAGGCTGCGGTGGCCCGAGGCTCACACGCCCGCCCGCCCGCTCCCACGGGCCCAGCCGCGTCCCCACGCCGCCCTCACGGTGCCGGCGCCCTGCCCTTTCGCAGACGAGGAAACGGAGCCTGCGAGAGTGGGAAGTCCTTCCAAGGTCACACGGTCAGCAAATGGCGGGCTGGGAATTAAGTCCGTTTCTGCTCGATTACAAAGCATGTGGGTTTAGCCGCCAGAGTCTACTTTTCCCTCGTTCTTTAGTTGCTCACCTTTTATGAGAACCAGAGATTAAGCTCCCTGAGGGCAAAGGCCACATCTTATTTTTTTTTCCTATTTATCTCTGCAAGATGCCAGGAACTCATCTTAAAAAGCAGCTGCCAGAATATTCTGAGGCGGTGGGTGGCAGCGGCAGGGACCCAAAGCCACTCTGGGGCTGTCCGTCCTGTAGGTGGCCTGCTTCCCCCAGGGCTGGGGCTCTCCCCACCTGCTCCACGGTTCCTGTGGGCTCGGGCACTGCCCCTCCGGACCCACCGTCTGCCCTGACGCTGCAGCCCAAGGACTGCGGCTCCTCCTGCTCTTCCTTCCCGGGCCCTGATGTTTGCTTCCCAACAGCTTCCCTGGCTGCCTCTCTCCAGGCCTGTAAGCTTCTGGGCCACCTCACCCTCAACGTCCCCTCAGAGCACCTCAAATCCCACTGCCCTGGGTTAGTGAAGACGCCCACCGGGAGCCTCTGTGGGCCAGGCTCTCCCCGGCCAGCGCTCCGGCTGCGGCGTTCAGGGCCGCGTGCGGCTCCGTCTGCTCTGAGTAACGGCACCACCCCGCGTCCGCTTGTTTCCGATTTCAAGGTGAGGGACCTGAAGCTCAGGGACACTGAGCCACGTATCTGAGGTCCCGCCCCGAGAAGATGGCGGAATCCAGACTAGAACACGGATCGGTCTGGGAAGAGGAAGCCAGTTCTGGAGACGGGGGTGGGGATGTCTGCACGACAAGGTGAATGCACTTAATACCACGGAACTATACACTTAGAAATGGTGAAAATGGTAAATTTTACGTCGTATACATTTTACCACAATAAAAAATTATTAAAATGGTAAAACAACAAACACAATAACCTCGTAGGCTCTTAATGGGATTAAACGAGATATTGCACTTAAAACCCTTAGCTTCATGCCTGGCTCATAGGGGCTAATGTTAATTATGTTGATCTCACTGTTTTAGTTTCCTCATCTATAAAGTGGGGATAATGAGAGTGCCTCTTAGAGTTTTATTTTTTCTCCTTAGAAATTTATTGTGGTAAATTTATGCATACAGAAATTACATTCCTTTTTTAAAATTGAGATACAACTTACATAAAGAGCACAAGTATTAAGTATATAGCAGGCTGAATTTCACATACGTATTTATAATGCAATCACCACTGAGGCCAAGACAGAACATTTCCCACTCCCAGAAGGCTGCCTTGTGCCCCTCCTGGTTAGCGCTGCCCTCTTTCCCCCTTAGGGTTTTTTAATTGAATTAAATAAAACACTTGGTACCATGTCTGACATAGAATTGATTGATCAATGATACCATTAATTATCGATACTATTATTAATATACTAATTACTGCTGTTTGAAAAAAGGTAAAAACAATAAACTGCTAATAACAATGATGTGAAACCCAGTTTAGAACACAACCGATGCAAGAGCACTGGCCATAGAGTTAAGAGGTTTGTCTCGTTAGCTGCCGTCAGCCGGCTGTGTGGCCACGAGGAGCCCTCTGAGCTCCGGGTCCTCAGCCATTAAGTGAGGGGCTCAGTCTAAGGAATCTCTAAGGCTCCTTCTTCTTCCGACATTCTATACATCTAGAAATTTGGCTTTGCAGCCTGGCAAGGGGCTGAAGAAGGTGTGAGAACTGAGCGTTGTAGTGAAGCCAAGCCAGTAGACCCTCTGCCCCAGCATCTGGGCGGTGCTCACAGTACCCAGCTGCAGGGACAATCCGGAGAGGCTCTTGCTCCAATTCTTGAAGTCTTCTAGTCTGAACCATGCTAATGGGATGACCTTTAGGGACTAAAAAACTTCTTCCATATTAGTGTTGATATACACAGGTCATATCCGTGGCCAAATCCACTCCCTCTGTTCTCAGCCGTTGCAGTCCATGGGCAGCAGGATTTCCATCCGCTCAGGCAGCTGTGCCAGTAGCTGAAGGGGCGGGGTGGTCTCTGTTGACCTGCCAGCTGCTGGAGCGGCAGGCAAGGGGAGCTTCCCCTGGCTTCCTCTGGACCGCAGCTGTCCAGAGCATCACGGAACAATGGTTGACATCCATGGCAAGAATGTGTCAAAACGGATTTTTCTTAATGCAGAAAATTGTTTCGCGTTGACTTATAAGCTAGTCCAAATGTGGTTTCTGCAATATACAACATAGTAATAAAGTGCCTAAAATGGTGTCTCACATAGAGCAAATATTCAGTAAATATTAGCTCTTACTGTCATGTCAGATGTCATGGAATTATGAGATTAAAATGATGATGATCATATCCAAACTCTACTAATCCTTCCAAGACTAGCTCAGATTCCCTTTCCTCCAGGAATTCTGTCTGGACTCCTCAGCTTACATTTACCTCTGCCATTCATTCATTCATTTATTTGTTCGGCAAATAACTTTCAATGTTTGTGGGTTCCAGGTATTGAAGATAGCCCGATAAACAATACAGACAAGGTCCCTGCCCTTGGATTTTATATCCTGGTGGATGGAGACAGACAATGAACAATTTCCAATTTTTTTTAAAGAAAGACAAGATTCATTCAGTCAATCAAATATTTACTGAGCACCTACTATGTGCCAGTTACAGTTTTAGGTATTAGGGATACATTGCTGAACAAGACAAACATGGTCTCTCAACTTAAGGAGCTTTACTTCTAGTGGAGAAACCACAAGAGCAAATAAATTAAAAAGTTTGGTGATGGTAAGTGCCTGAGGAAAAAGAATCAGGGTCACGTGGCAGTTGAGAAGCGCAGGGGGGAGGGTGCTCTTCTAACCAAAGGAGCCAGCCTTCCACAATTTCTAGAGAATACAAATCACAATGAAAGTTTCTGCTGTCCTTGCAGTCATGCCCCTGATTTTCCTGCTGCATTTTGTCAAGCGCCTCTTCTATTTAAATGTCGCTGGAGCACTGATTTGTCTCCTCTCGGGATGGCTGCAGGATAAGCTCCTTGGGGTCGAGAACGGTGCCTCAAGTGGAATGCTCCAGAAACCCCAATATACTAGCCATCTAGTATATTTGAAGGTTGAATATGCCTCCTCTGAAATGCTTGTACCAAAAGTGTTTTGGATTTGGGATTTTTTCAGATTTTGGAATATTTGCATATATATAATGAGATATCTTGGGGAATATTTGCAGATACATCATGAATTTATCCCCAAGTTTAATGGGAGAATTTATTCATGCTTCCTAAACACCTCATGCG